CTGAAGGAGAGGCAGTACTTCCCAACACATGTTATGAGGCCAACATAACCCTGATTACCAAAATCTGGCAACGATACCACAAAAAAAGAAATCAACAGACCAGTATCTCTGCAAAAATTGCCCTGACTGGTGTGGTTCAGTGGATTGAGTACTGGTGTGCAAACCAAAAGGTTGCCAGTTCAATTTCCAGTCAGGGCATGTGCCTGGATTCCAGGCCAGGTCCTCAGTTGGGGGCATGCGAGAGGCAACCAATTAATGTTTCTCTTGCTCATTGATGCTTCTCTCCCCCTTTTTGTCCACCCCTTCCCCTCTGTTTGAAAATAAATAAATAAAATATTTTAAAAATAAAAAAATAAAGTTACAAGAATCCTAAGAAAAATACTAGCAAATCAGACACAACAAAACATTACAAAAATCGTACATCACAGTCAAGTTTGATTCATTGCAGGGGCACAAGGATTGTTTAACATATGTAAATCAATCAATATAATACACCACATTAAAAAACAAAGGATGAAAATCATAGGATCTTATTAATAGATGCAGAAAAATCATTTGATAAGATACAACATCCATTTATGATATAAACAATAAAATGGGTATAGAAGGAAAGTACCTCAAAATAATAGAGGCCATATGTGACAGACCCTCAGCCAGTATTATACTCAGTGGTAAAAAACTGAACACTTTTCCTCTAGAATCAGGAACAAAACAAGGATGTCCACTCATCACTATTTTTCAGCATAGTTCTGGAAGTCTTAGCCAGAGCAACCAGGCAAAAGAAAGAAATAAAAGGCATTCAGGAAGAAGTAAAAGTGTCACTTTTTGGAGATGACATGATTCTGTTTAAGGAAAACCCTTAAAGACTATACCAAAAAGCTTTTAGAAACAATAAACTGTAAAGTTCCAAAGTCAATATTCAAAAATCCACTGTTTTCCTATATTCTAACAATGAAACTTCAGGAAAAGAAACAAAAAAATAATTGTTTTTGCAAATGGAACCAAAAGAGTTAAAATACCTGGGAATAAACTTAACAAAAGATGTAAGGGACCTTTGCACTGAAAATTACAAAGCATTATTAAAAGAGATGGAGAAAGACACAATGAAATGGGAAGATATTCCATGTCCATGGATTGGAAGAATCAACATAGGTAAAATGGCCATATCACCCAAAGCAATATCCATATTGCATTCAGTCCCCATCAAAATCCCAATGTCATTTTTTAAAGAAGTAGAACAAAAACATCAGATTTGTGTGGAACCACAAAAGACCCCAAATAGTCAAAGCAATCCTGAGAAGAAAAAACAAAGCCAGAGGTATCATACTACCTGACTTCAAATTATACTACAGAGCTACAATAATCAAAACAGCATGTTATTTCCCCCCGCCCCCCCCTAACAAAACAGACACACTGACCAGTGGCCCAGAACCGAGAGCTCTGAAATAAAACTACAAGTATATGGGCAAATAATTTTTTACAAACAAGCCAAAAACACACAATGGAGAAAAGAAAGCCTGTTCAATAAATGGTGCTGGGGATTTTCCTGCCATTGGGAAGTTGCGCAGAGGTGGAGGCTTGGATGCATTCAAGATTCAGCTCCACCTATAACCTACTGTTATGGCTAAGGAAAGCATCACTGCTGGAGGTGTAATGGACATTAATACTGCTTTACAAGATGTGCTGAAGACCATCCTCATCCATGACGGCTTAGCACGTGGAATTTGTAAAGCTGCCAAAGCCTTTGTGTGCTTGCATGCAACTGTGATAATCCTCTGTATGTCAAGTTGGTGGTGGCTCTTTGTGCTAAACACCAAATCAAGCTAATTAAGGATGACAGCAATAAGAAACTAGGGGTATGGGTAGACCTTTGTAAAATCATCAGAGGGGGAACACCTCGTAAAGTGGTTGATTGCAGTTCTGTGATGGTTAAGGACTCTGACAAGGAGTCTCAGGCAAATGATGTCATCAAGAGTACTTCAAATGCAAGACATGAACAAATAAACTCTGCATTTGTTTCTCAAATGAGTGAAAATGGTGCTTGGAAAATTGGAAAGCCACATGCAAAAGAATGAAACTCGACTATAGTTTGTCCCGTGTACAGAAATTAATTCAGAAATGTATCAAAGACCTAAGTATATGATCTGAAATAATAAATCACATAGAAGAAAACATAGGTACTGAACTTATGGACCTTGGTCATGGAGAACATTTCATGAATTTGACCCCAAAGGCAAGGGAAATAAAGGCAAAAATACATGAGTAGGACTATATCAAACTAAAAAGCTTCTGCACAGCAAAAGAAACTGCCAACAAAACAAAAAGGCAAACAACCTAATGGAAGATGGTATTTGCAAATACCCACTCCAACAAAGGGATGTGGGTATATAAAGAACTCATAGAACTCAACACCAAACAAACAAACAGTTCAATTAAAAGCTGGGCAGAGGACTTGAATAGACACCTCTCTCAAGAAGACATACAAACATCCCACAAATATATGAAAAACTGTTTAACTTCTTTAGCTATTAGGAAAATGCAAATCAAAACCACAATGAGATACCTTCTCTCACCTGTTATAATGGCTATTAACAAGAGAAATAGTAACAAGTGCTGGAGAAGTCATAGAGAAAGGAGCCCTTATTCACTGCTGTGAGAACATAAACTGGTACAGCCACTATGCAAAACGGTAAGGCAATTCCTCAAAAAAAAAATAAAAAGTATCTACACAAAAACCTTAAAAATGTGTATTGGCAAAGATTTATGTACCTCTATGTTTATTGCAGCATTATTCACAGTGGCCAAGACATGGAGTCAACCAAAGAAAGTGTCATTCAGTAGAGGATTGGATGAAGAATGTATGGTACATTATACTATGCATTACTGCTTAGCCATATGAAAGGATGAAATACTGCCATTTGTGACATCGGTGGAACTTGAGAATATTATACTAAGTGAAATAAGTCAGAGAAAGCTAAGAACCATATGACTTTACTAATAATGTAGAATCTAGTGAACAAAATAATGAGCAAAATAGAAACAGACTATAGAGAACAGACCAACAGCTGTCAGAGGGGAGGGGAATTGAGGGATTGGATGAAAAAGGTGAATTGATTAAGTAAAAACAAAAACAAAAAGAACACAGACAACATTTTGGTGATTACTAGAGGGAAAGAGGGGTGGGGGGATGTAGAAGAGGGTATAAAGGGGATAAATTGTGGTGAAAGGAGACTTGACTTCAGGTAATGAACACACGATACAATATGCAGATCATGTATTATGGAATTATATACCTGAAACCTCTATAATTTTATTAACCTGTGTCACTCCAATAAATTCAATTAAAAAAAGAAAATTTTATTCACAGAATGGGACTATTTGTCCATAATCACACATACGCATCACAGGCAAAGCACTTTATCCACACCTTCAGATCATATGCTACTTAACCTGCACCTGTTTATAAAAAGCTTCCCCAGGTTTTTGCATCTTAAAATCCTGATCCCAAAAAGACATCCTTTTCTGAAGAAACATCCTAACTTTTTAATGTTAAGCTTGGAAAAAATGTGGTCATTGAATATACTTCTTAGATGATTTCTTTCCCTCTACTCACTAAGTCAGAGTGTTTTTTTCCTCTCAATTTATTATTTCAGAGAATGATAGGAAGAGTCAGATGGTGCCAGAAACTAAGAAAAGGAAAGGGTTATTTCAACCCTTAAGACAATGCAGAAGTAGAGACACTAATAGCAAGTTGTTTTCTGGATAGTCTCTATAGTAATCTGGACTCTTGGACTCTTTTCCCATCTTAGTTATTTCCTTTCTTTTATTTACCTGTGATCCAGGTTATAGGGTCAGGGAAAGCACAATTTTTGAGAGATTGCCAACCTTTCCTCCCTAGCCAAGAAAGCTCTGCATTGTTTGTGGGTTGGGTAGCAATAGGTTAAGGTAACAAGGCTCAGACAAGTGATACTTTCTTGTGAGATTCTGATAATAAAACTAGCTCATGGATAAGTTTATGTTAGGTTTCAGTGTAGGTTTTAGTAGTTGTCTCTCCTATAAGAATTTCCCTGGTAACACTAGGTTACTGAGGGACATAGCTAAGTTATTTGATTAAGTCATCACTTTTATCTTGTGGGCAGTTACAACCTATCTCTATCCATAGTAGCTTCGTTCAGTGCCGATGAGAGTAGGGTCTCTGGAACTTTATTTCCCTGTTAGCCTTTTTGTTTTCCTTTGTGCATACATACAAAGCACAAGAAAGTGTTATATGGATTTCTACTATTGCCTTTACTTTTCTTCACAGTAACACAAATCTACTTACATATATCTGTAATCATAATACCAGTTCTCATCAGGCAATGAAATTCTGTTTTTGTAAAACTGTTTCCTTTGAGTATATATTGTTACTAAGTAAGTTAGCTCTGTTTTTAGATAGTGTGTAAGGATTATTGTTTGTACATTAATTTGTAGAGTTGAGAGGGATGTTTAGATTTCAAGTATCAGGGGAAAAATGTACTCTGTGTAAGAACATGACTTAGCATTACCACTTAAGTGGTGAGTTTGTTTCTTGTGACTCCTTAAGTAGAATGTAGTAACCACTTAAAACTACCCCAAAGCAGGGCAAAGGTGTTGTTAGTGTTCCAATCAAGGAAAATTGTCATGTTTTTAGCCCTAGATGAAAATCACTCAAGTTTTTAACAAGTAGTTATATAATCATGGGCTACCTATAACTTTTCTTTTTTAAAAATACACAATTCTAATGACTAATTTAGTATATATGATTGGTTTTGGCCTTTTCAAACATGCATTTCATGGTAGGTTATACACTCAGGATGCTTATTTTAATACTGTGAAATAGATTTGTCAAGTAAGGCATGAACTTTTTTGAAAATAATCTAGTGAAATTATCCATCATGCTAATGATTATCTTTTTGATGTTTGCCACATCTTGGGTATGCTTTCTCAGCTTTCTCTATTACTTATGTGTTCATTGCCTTCAGAACATGAAGACTTTTTAACAGTTGCAGAGTCCCTGAAGAAAGAATTTGACAGTCCAGAAACTGCCGATCTAAAGTTTCGAATTGATGGGAAATATATCCATGTCCATAAAGCTGTTTTGAAAATCAGGTATTTTTGCATGAGATAACCTTACTTTTTCTTTACAACATCTGTTTCTTTGTTATTCCATAAATTGGGTACTGATAAGAAACAACCTTGGCAGTAGAGAGAAATGGCACAACTTCTTTTTGCAGATAGTATCAATCCACTCATTATCAAAGAGTTTTGCGTGCACGTGTGTGTTCACAGGCATACATGTGTCTTTTTGAAAAAGCATAATGTAGTATTTGTCTATATATTTTTTAAATGAAGGATGTTGTGAATATTTATTTCCAAGATACCTATTTACATGGTTAAAAAACCCACAAAACACTGTCAGGGAAAAGTATATATATGAGGTCTGTATGGAAAAAATGCAGCCATTGTTAATATGATGAGAATAGTTGACACCACATCAGTGTAACCCAGCAGCCAAGGAGAGTGGACTAGAATGCGCATGCATAAACAGTGATGACTTCACTGTGCTATTCTGTGGAGGTGGTAGATGTTGTTGAGTGGGCATGTGTACTGTGTGGCCATTGTATTCATAATGACTGAGTAGAGCAATGAATCTGCATCCAATTTTGCATTAAGCTTGAACATTCCTCCACGTAAACTATTTGGATGATGCAGAAGGCCATAGCTATGGGCAGCTGGTGTTTGGCAGCTTCATCACAACAAAACTCTTGCTCATGCATCATGTCTTATGAAGAGTTTTTTGGCAAAACATCGAATCACCCAGGTGACTCAGTCCGCCTACAGCCCAGATTTGGCGTTCTGTGACTTCTAGCTTTTCCCAAAACTAAAATCACTTTTGAAAGGGAAGAGATTTCAGACTGTCGATGAGACTCAGGAAAATACAACAGGGTAGCTGATGGAGATTCCAACAAAGGATTTTGCTAAGTGTTTTAAACAGTGGAAGAGATGCTGGGAGAAGTGTGTGAGGTCCCAAGTTGCCTACTTTGAAGGAGACTGAAGCATCATTGTTCTATGTACAATGTTTCTTGTATCTTATTCAATAAATGTAATAAATTTCATTACATGGCTGGATAGTTTCTGGATAGACCTCGTGTACCTCCTTTTGCTCTTAATTAAAGATTCATTTTTCTCAAGGAGAAAACTCTCATAGTCAGGAATGCTGGTTTTCTGGCCTGGGTGGCATCTAATTCCCAATTAAAGAAAAGTTCTTTAGCTGTATGTCAGGAGTTCTTTGTATAAATGTGATGGAACTTTGTATTTATTAGTAACTATTTGGACTGTTGCTCATTGACGTTGCCATTACAGAGAAAGAGTCACATGAAATCAGACCACTGAGAATTAAACTGGCCATTTACAAGTCTTTTTATAAATGTAGTTAAAAACCTATTTACAAAATAATTTGTTTAAGGGAATTGAAAAGCTCTATGTCATTCATTACTTAAGGGAATAAATATCTGCACCAAGGTATTAGTTGAAAAATGAACTGGAAATGTTTCTGTCTGTGAACCTGTGGACAACCAGGCTATTCCTTTCCTAAATAGTTTTTTGACCCATTTTTATCTATTGTTCCTTGCTTAAACATCCATTTCTTTTTACTTCTCAGATGAAGTAATTCATTAGGTAAGTGGAGCCATTCTTTTGGTATTCTGAATGAAGTTTGAAAACATTTCATGTTTATTTATACTGTATCTCATTTTAGAAGGATTTTAAAAAATTATAAAGTATGTCATACTCTAAGAAAATCTAATATTCAGAAATCAGTTCCTCATACAGGTGGATTTGTACATGTTAATACAATACAAAAAGACCCCCTTAGGTTTCTTGATATCATGGTTATCCTAGTGAATGTGTTTTATAAATACACTAGTAACAGGCTTGGAAGGAGAGGAAAGGGAGCAGGGCAAAGTGAAAAAAACAAAATAGGAAGTGATGGCCATTTGAACATGAGTCAGAAAAAAAAGGAAAATTGTTATGTAAGATAATAGAGTAATAATCAGCTTAACCATAATCCAGTTAACATTTAAAACAGTTTTAAGAGTATGCTGATTGCATAAAACAAAACAAAAGAAAAGCAGATGAGTCATTTGAATGTGTTACTTCGTAGTGATAAGTGTGAACTCTCATTTCTGAATTTCCTTTAATGTCATTGTTTAAAATACATTACTGTACATCTTTTAAACAACAAAAGAGCAAAAAGTCTTTATATGAGTGGGGACTGCCAAATGGAAATGGTAGCACTGCAGAAGTGCTAGGTTCTCCTAGGCTCTACAAATAATTCTTAATATATCATAGGAGGTACTCATCAAAAATGAAAGTGAGTATATGTAAAAGGCAAATATAAAAATCCTTGCTCATGCAATCTTTTTTTTAGGGTGCTAGTTAAAGATTCACGATCCTGGTGTGTGCAAAGCCAATTATAATAAAGATACCTGTAATACATGTTTATCTTATTGTATCAACTGAATTGACTTTTGCTGTTCTGTTTTAGGTGTGAGCACTTTCGATCCATGTTCCAGTCTTATTGGAATGAGGATATGAAAGAAGTGATAGAAATAGACCAGTTTTCTTACCCAGTGTATCGTGCCTTTCTCCAATTCCTCTACACAGACACAGTTGACCTACCGCCTGAAGATGCTATAGGTACTTCAGCCACATTGGGAGTGGCCAGATCACATGGTCAGAAATGTATCTCCTCTTCTTCTTATGGTATTGAAATATGAAAAGTTTCAGATTCATTGGCTTTTATATGGCTTTTTAAAATATTTGAAATAAATATCTTTAAAAATAACATTGCTTGGTTGTAGTTAATAATTATAGACACAGTTTATGACTGGACTTACTTTAATTTTTTAATGTTGAAGTATAATTTCATAATGGATTTAGCATGCCATTTTGGAAACAAAATGAGGGGGGAAATTTTATTTTTCCCCTTCTTTGTACTATAATAAAAATTGTGTAAAATGAGTATAAAGAGGTATGTTTGGGAAGTCAGGGAGGTAGAAAGTAACAAAGAACTTATTTAATAGAACTCTGAGTATTATTCATTAAGAAACTTCTACTGAATTACCAGCATAACTCTGTGCATCAAAATTAAATATATACATATAAACTATAGAAAATTATCATAAGATTTATTAAAATGTCTACACTTTTAACTTTTAGGCCTTTTGGATTTGGCAACATCTTACTGTGAAAACAGACTGAAAAAACTTTGTCAGCGTATTATCAAACGGGGAATCTCTGTGGAGAATGCCTTTTCGTTATTCTCTGCTGCAGTCAGATATGATGCAGAGGTAATGTAAAACCACAAACAGGAACTCAAACCACTATTAACTACCCATGTGCTCCTTTCTCTCACTGAGACAAGGACCATGATGAGTAACTTCCCTTCTATTTAGGAAATCAGTGAAGTGACTGATCCCTGAACAATGAAATCTGGTCTTGCTTCTTCATTCTCTGTTCATTATTTCAAACATGGTTATTCCTGTACTTTCATTTTTAACTAAGATAAGAAACTGAGGTTCCAGCAGCTGTACTACAGGTTGGAATATGAAGTGCACACCTAATTGGACTAACAAACAGCATATTTTAGTTCATCAAGGTCAGCATTTATATATATTTTTAAGACTCACTTTGCTGTCTCCCCTGCCACCCTGTCATTAGCCATGGATGCCATATGGTTTGTATCTGTATGCTCTGAAATTCTATCATTGTCTAATTATAACACATTATTCATGAGTGAAGAACTTGTTTGGGACTCTTCTTTGTTTTGCACAATTGGATTCTTTTGGGAATCATGGATTTATGGAGAGTCTGTGAATGAAGGGGCTTTTGGGAGTCTGAAATTTTGTTTATATGCATTTTCTTTTTTTCTTTTTCTCCTTTTTTTTTAGAGAGAGGGAGAGAAACATCAATTTGTTGTTTCACTTATTTATGCATTCATTAGTTGATTCTTATGTGTGCCCTGATTGGGAATTGAACTCTCAACCTGGGTGTATCAGGACAGCACTCTAACCAACTGGGCTACCTGGCCAGGGCCTTATGTGCACTTTTTTGAAGTTAAGAACCAAAGCATCGTCAGATTGTAAGCTCCTCATGAGCAGGAACTGGATCTTACTCATCTGCGTATCCTACAGGGCCTGGCACATAGTGGGTTTGGGATGATAAATGTTTGTTGAACCACCTGAAGGGAGCTTTAGGCTGGTATTTTACAAATTCATAGGGAATAACAGGTAGAGAGCAGTAGTCTTGGAGTTCAAGATGTCTAGTTAGGATATTTACCCTAAGTGGTACAATTTGTCTGTTCTTATAAGTATTTTGTCATCACATGATGAGATAATACCTGGTATCAGGGAATTTACTAAACACTGCAAAGTTCTGCACTGTGGCCTTGGAGATGGGTGGAGGACAGACTTCATTTTTAAGCAATTAGGAATCAAAGTGGACCATTATGTCTTCTATTTTCAAATGTATCCTATTTTTATTTGAAATTATATTATGATTATAAATATTTGATAAGGCCAAATATAGGTGATGTTTTCTGTAGCCCTTTCAACAGATGGAATAATGATCAAAGCATATATTTTTTTAAAGATTTAACTTATATACTTTTTAGAGAGGGTTGGGGAGGAAGAAAGAGAGTGAATCATCAATGTGTGGTTGCATGCCCCCTTTTGAGGACCTGGCCTGCAACCCAGGCATGTACCTTGACTAGGAATAGAATCTGTGACCATTTGGTTTTCAGACTGGCACTCAATCCACTGAGCCACACCAGCTAGGGCCAAAGGATATTTCTAATGATAATTAGAAGTATAGTTTTTTCCCCTACCCTTTGATACCATGAGCTTCTTTATAGGAAATGCTATTTTATTATTTCATTTTTTTTCTTTTTATTGAATTAATTGGAGGTGATACTGGTTAACAAAATGAAACTGGTATCGGGTGCATGATTCCATAACATGTCATCTTTACATTGTATTGTGTGTTCACCACACAAGTCAAGTCTTCTTCCATCACCATTTATACCTCCATGCCCTCCTATACCTACCCTTGCTCTGCCTCTGGCAGTCACCACACCATTGTCTATTCATGAGTTTTTCGCTTCATTTTTCCTTTCAGCTCAATCATTCCACCTCCGCAGCTGGCCCCCAAACCTTCCAACCCTCCCTCCCTACAGCTATCAGTCTTTTCTCTATAAGTCTGTCTCTATGTTGCTTATTCCTTTTGTTCATTAGATTCCACATATGAGTGAAATCATATGGTATTGTCTTTTTCTTACTGTCTTATTTCACTTAGTATTTTGCTGTCCAGGGCCATCCATGCTGTTGCAAAGGTTAAGATTGCCTTCTATTTTATGGCTGAGTAGTATTCCATTGCATAAATGTACCACAGCTTTTTTTGTCTACTCATCTACTAATGGGCACTTGGGCTGCTTCCAAATCTTGACTGTTGTAAATAATGCTGCAATGAACACAGGTGTGCATATATTCTTTTGAATTCGAGTTTCAGATTTCTTCAGATAAATTCACAGAAGTGGAGTTGCCAGATCACCAGGCAATTCTATTTTTAATTTTTTGAGGTAACTCCATACTGCTTTCCACATTGGCTGCACCAGTTGCATTCCCACCGCCAGTGCTGAGGGTTACCTTTTCTCCACATTCTTGCCAACACTTGTTTGTTGTTTGTTGATTTACTGATGATAGCTACTTCTGACAGTGTGAAGTGATATCTCACTGTGGTTTTAATTTGCAAGAAATGCTATTTCTTTAGACTTAATTTATACCCTATGATATAATTTTAAATTGGCCAGTGTCTTTTCTCTCCAATTGGTGATTGATTTTAGAATCTTTTCTGTGTTCCTCTATATTCCTTCTCACTGCTAGTGAGTTCCAAATTCTTGGGATAGGCTGTAGCTGGCTAAAACCACCTGGACAGAGGCAAACATTTTGGCTGTAGGAGTTGGAAATTTCTTTCTCACTTCCAGCCAATGTGCACCTCAGAAAGTTTACAGAAAAAAATCTTATGTCAGCTGATCATTTCCTTGATTAGTTTTCTTTTTTTTAATTTTCAGTATAAACACATTAAAAACTATTATTTGAGACCACAAATGCATGTGGTCCCTCAGAGTCTACTACAGTATGAGCATATACTTAGTATTCAAAAATAAACATCAAGTTAAAAGAATAAATGAATCCATTTGAAACACCTAATCACAAAGCTGTGCTTATTAAAAAAGCTTTTAAAAAACTCTACCAACATATTTAATATAGAAAATTAGAAAATAGAAGACAAAAATAATCACTTCTTTTAATGATTTTTTCTTTTGTTTTTAATATATTTTATTGATTATGCTACTACAGTTGTCCCATTTCCCACCTTTATTCCCCTCCACCTTGTACACTACCTCCCACCCACATTTCCCTCCTTTAGTTCAAGTCCGTGGGTCATACATATAAATTCTTTGGCTTCTACATTTCCTATACTATTGTATGCTCCCTCTGTCTGTATTCTACCTACCATTTATGCTACTTATTCTTTGTACCTTTTCCCCCTCTCTCCCTGTGCCACTCCCCGGATGATAACCCTCTATGTGATCTCCATTTCTGTGATTCTGTTCCTATTCTAGTTGTTTGCTTACTTTCTTTTAGGTTTGGTTGTTAATAGCTGAGTTTGTTGTCATTTTACTGTTCACATTTTTTATCTTTTTCTTAGGTAAGTCCCTTTAACACTTCATATAATAAGGGCTTGGCAATGATGAATTCCTTTAACTTGACCTTATCTGGGAGGCACTTTATCTGTTCATCCATTCTAAATAATAGCTTTGCTGGATAGAGTGATCTTGGAATACTTCTTTCCAGCTCTTTCTTGCCTGCAAGGTTTGTTTTGAGAAATCAGCTGACAGTCTTATGGAAACTCCTTTGTAGGTAACTGTCTCCTTTTCTCTTGCTGCTTTTAAGATTCCTTATCTTTAATCTTGGGTAATGTAATTATGATGTGCCTTAGTGTGTGCTTCCTTGGGTTCCACTGCTTTGGGACTCCCTGAGCTTCCTGAACTTCCTGAAAGCCTGTTTCCTTTGCCCGATTGGGGAAGTTCCCTTTCACTATTTGTTCAAATAAATTTTCCATTTGTTGCTCTTCCTCTTCTCCTTCTGGCACCCCTATGATTCAGATATTGGAATGTTTAAAGTTGTCCCAGAGGTTCCAAAGCCTCTCCTCATTTTTTTGAATTCTTGTTTCTTCATTCTGTTCTGGTTGAATGTTTATTTTTTCCTTCTGCTCCAAACTGTTGATTTGAGTCCCAGTTTCCTTCCCATCACTGTTGGTTCCCTATTATTTCACTTGGCAGAGCCTTCATTTTTTCCTCTACTCTGCAATCATATTAAACCATTTCTGTGAGCACCCTGATTACCCATGTTTTGAACTGTGCATCTGATAGGTTGTCTATCTCTTCATCACTTAGTTGTATTTTTTTCTGGAGCTTTGATCTGTTCTTGCATTTTGGCCTTTTTGTCTTGTTGGGCCTCTTATGTAGTAAGGGTCAGAGCCTTAGGTTTTCACCAGGGCAGGGTAACCCTCATCCCTGCATTGTGACACTGGTGTGGGGGAGGGGTCCGAGAGGGACCAGTGCTGCTTGCTCTGCCCTTTGCTCGTTTTGAGTCACTTCCCCTGCCACCCACAATCAAATTGGGCCCTTCTGTTGATGATTCACAGGTAGGTGAGTTTGTGTATGTTCTAGAACCCTGTGGGTCTCCCCAATGAACTCTCCTGTAAGGCTGGAGGTTTCTCCTGCCACCTCAACCCTCACAGGTTTATTCAGTCAGAGGTTTTGAGCCTTTGTTTCCCTGCACTGGAACCCCAGGTTGCATGGTCTGTCTCACTCCCCAGTTTATCTGCACGCAAATGTGGGACCGCCCTATCCGCTAGCTGCTGCTTTGCCTACCCAGGTCCTCCAGCCTCTGCCTTGCTATAAGTCCTCTCCACATGGCTGTCCATCTCCACCCGTCCTACCAGTCTGGATGAATGATTCTTCTTAAATTCCTTGGTTGTCAGACTTCCATACAATTCAATTTTCTGGCAGTTCTTGTTGGTTTTTGTTTTTAAATTTGTTGTTGGCCTTTTGGTTTTGTGAGGAGGCACAGTGTATCTATCTACCTATGCCTCCATCTTGGCCAGAAGTCTGTTTTTTTGGTTTTGATAAGAGTTATATATTGAGTAATATACTTTTAGATTTTGTTTCCTTAATGCTATCAAATGTAGTAAGTGAATAAATGAAGTCTTTAGAATACAAAAATAAAACCCACTTACTATATCTCTTAGTTGATAGGATGCTACTACTAAGCCAGTTGAAATTAACTGCAAAAACTATTATTTTTCAGCTTAACTTTGGGATACTAGATGACTTTTCCTTCATTCTGTGGGTTGATATGTGAGAAGACGGAGACTACCTGCTTCTCACATTTCTTTCCTTTTCTATAAATGTTATTGTTGTTCCTCCATACTTCCTTTGACAGGATAATTTTGAAGCAAATATACACAAATAAAAGCAACAAAAATGTATTGATCGATACTTATGAAGAGTTTTGAAAGTAGCTAACTCTTGTGGAGCCCTTACATTATGAATACATTGTCAAAACTGTCTAAATTTTAACAAAGTGAAACAGGACTTGGAGAAGAAGCACTTAAGTATTTCTCTAGCACAAATCCAAATAAATTCTGACATCAAGGGAGAAAATGGAGTAAAATATTGTCTCAGGATAGTTTTGTGTCACATTATAAAAAATTTGAAATGCTTCTATTTATACTGTTTCAGTAAATTTTTGTTTTCTCTGTATATTTGAACTTTAGGAGAAACAGTTGGGAAGAATTATTTGTTTAACCAAATTAGAGAACTTTCCAGAAAATTCTACTTGTTAAGCAACTTATGTCTTAGAATTTTGTTCTTGTTGGTAAGCCATAAATATAAGCCCAGAAATCTAATCCCAAAATTGGTTTGGGATGTGATATTGGAAAACTTTGTGCTGAACTCAGGTGGTCAGCATTTTTTATTCTTTCTGAGGGCCAAGTTATCTATGATCAGTAGATTGTAAATATTTTTTGAGTAATGAGAGAAAGCACCTTTATTTTTTCATATAGTTAGATATTTAAGTACATTCTAAAAAAAAAAATAAAACCCACTTCAATCTGGAATATTTTGTACTTGATATATTATAAAATGAATTATAGACAACAGTTTTGGGGGTTTTCTATTATAATTATTTTAACAAGTTTAGACAGAGGTGTGACTCACCATATCTTGCAAAACTGAATGTGTCTCAAGGTTGGCTTGTGACACAGAATAACAACTTGTTTTCAGAATATATATAATGACTGAAATAATTAAGTCAAATGTTTAAAAATTTGGAATGATGGTACTTCCTTTTTACCCAGCAAGTCCACTTCTGTGATTATACCCTAAGAATCCTGAAACACCAATTCAAAAGAACTTATGCACACCTATGTTCATAGCAGCATTATTTATAATAGCCAAGTGTCGGAAACAGCCTCAGTGCCTATAAGTAAATGAGTGGATCAAAAAACCATGGTACATTTACACAATGGAATATTACACAGTAGGAAAAAAAAAAGAAGAAACTCCTACCTTTGTGATAGCATGGATGGAACTGGAGAATATTATGCTAAATGAAGTAAGCCAGGTAGTGAAAGACAAATACTGTATGATCTCACCTATAAGAGGAACTTAATCAGCAAAACAAACAAATGAGCAAAATAGAACCAGAGGCATGGAAACAAGGAACAGATTGACAGTAAACAGAGGAGGAGAGAGGGGTAAGGATGGAAAGGAGAGTAGTCCAGGCACATGTATGAAAAACTCATGGGAATGGACAATAGGGTGGGGGTTGATGGTGGGAACAAGAGGTAGGATGGACAGAAGAGAACAAAGGGGGAAAATTGGGACAACTATAATAGAACAACAATAAAATATTTAATTAAAAATTTTGGTGTGAAATTATAAATTATTTCAGATAGCAGTTTTAAATTTTGATCTTCCTTACTAATTACAACAAGTATTTTACAATGTTTGCTTTAGAACCCCTTTCTAATAATTTCACCACAAATTGTCATAAACATGGACTTTAGCTTCTAAAATACCAACAACACTGCATTAGACCTTGAATCTCCCACTTCCTTATTCCATGGACTTTGAGAAAACTCTTTCATCCTGTCATGAATTTTGTTCATCTACTGGTCAAGTGATCATTCTTGTTCTTCTTGGAAATATTTTCTTTAAAGTCCAGCAGTCCTGTTATAATTGACATATCGGGTTGGGTAAAAGTTTCATTTTCTTTTGTAGGCAATTGAAGGTCTCTTCATTTGAAGAATGAAGTGAACAGATCACACAGGTTCTTATAGTATTTCAGAATTATCAGAAGGATGTTTATCTAATTCACACATCAGAGCAAACTGCATCAGGGCACTGGTTGCTGTGTGAATAGGCTTGGTTCTGCCAGTCTCAAAATTCATGCAAATAAACTTGAGGATTCCAGTTTCTCTTCAAGTGCATTCAATGCTTTCTTTTCCATAGATCTGCCTTCACCAAGATTTAGTTACTTATTTAAACAATGGATATTTAGAATATTTTCAGCATTCTCTAGATATTAATGTTTGAAACTGTTAAACATTGTTGAATACTGAGAAATCTCATGAACTGAAACTAATTGAAGGGGAAGGGAAGTGAGTTTGATGTATTTTTATTGATATGTAAACTGATTTGCACTTAGAAGTGCCATTTGTATTTTTATACTGTACAAAAAAGTTTTAAAGTTTATGCTTGAGGTAATCTGTAATTAGTAAACTGAAAAAACTCATTCCTCATACATACTACAAAGATCTTGTATTCCAAATTAGTTGACACAGAAGTGATAAAGGTTTTACAGTGCTAGAATTCAGTGCACTCTTCTTTCTCTTTGAATTTGAAATTATGTAACTAAAAGTATTTAAAGATCCTTATGTGATAGATTACATAGTTTGAAGAACTTTCTTGCTCATTCTGGCTATTTCTTCCTAAATTATGTGTAAATAAACTAGTTTTCTGTTGTTGATAAATAAGAGTGAAGTATGACTTATCTCCCTGTGGAATCTAATTTAGTCCCTAGAGCTATTTATTAACCCTTGAGTTAGAGTAACAAGAATAGTGCTTTTTCTTTAGTAATAATGTGAGAGAAAATGTTACATAATTTAACAGAGCTTTCAGCTGTACATTTATTCTGCCCACTGGGAATCTCTTATTAAAAATATTGATCCACAGATATGTTAACATTTTAATGCATTTTGAATTACCTATAAAATGAAACTCTGCAGCAGCTGGCTGATACACATTAAATGGGGTTTATCTCCTACTAGCTATATATCTCCAAGGTGTGGGGGTATCTTTCAGCTAGGAACAGAGGGACCCTTAGGATAAAGAAGTCCATGTTTTCAGAGGTCTGCATTGAGAAAGAAAAAAGGTGTGTGTCCATATGTTTGTGTGGGCCCTTCTCCACTCTGCCTAAAATTTTCATCTCATGGTGGCTGGAAATGTGAAACCAAGACCGTGCAGTTTAAATGTTGTTGAGTTCCTGGTTTGATAGAACTCTGGGTACCTTCACTAGATCCAGCCACATAATCAAGCTATTTGTGCTAAGAGCTTTTACTGGGACTTGTTTTTATATACTTAGTCTCTGTATATATTCCAGGTACCTACTTGACTTAATAAATATATGTTCCAACATACAAAGGAACAAACAACATTGTAGTAGAGTTTTGCTGGGGATGACAGGATGTATTAGCTAGACAGAAATAGATTTTTTAATTGTCTGGTCTACCACTTGAATATGTCACTTTTTTGAATGTTGGTAGTTGGTGATTTCCATTTGTCAGACTGAAAAAATATGTGATTATCTTTTTATATTAACCATCTGAGAAATTGGTGTGACAGAAATTGTGTATTAGTCTAGAAGGTATTGTTATTTAGGAGAACATGAAAGTGAAATTTTTTTAAACATGTCTATCACCTTAGGTTAACTACACCTCTTCATCACTCTTATTTCTTATAGTCTTCTCTTTAATCTAAATAACTCAAATCTTAATTCTTTTCTCTGACTTCTTGAATATGGCAAAACATATCATATGGACTAAAGTTGCTTTCAGCTTTTTAAAATAATCTCTTTAAGTATGACTAGACCATGTGGTAACCAAGAGGAAGCTTCCCCTCATAGATGGTGTGTGCATGTGCGTATGTTGAGTCAGATGAGATAGGGGACCAATTGCTGCTACTGTGTTGTGAGTAAATAGTACGTATTTTTGACACATACTTGTCCCCTGTTTGCCTAATTTGAGGTGTTTAGACTCAACTATCTTTTCTGGGGGAGGGCAAGATCCTTGGGGTGAGGGATATGGAGACAAGTAATTCAATTAAAATTAATAAAAAAAGGCCTTTTCTTTTTATTTTTGTTGTGTGTGTCCAGGATTTAGAAGAGTTCTGCTTTAAGTTTTGCATCAATCATTTGACGGAAGTTACACAGACTGCAGCATTTTGGCAAATGGATGGCCCTCTGCTAAAGGAATTCATTGCTAAAGCCAGTAAATGTGGAGCCTTTAAGAACTGAAGCCAAGGCTGCTGTGTTTTGTGTGAGACCTTTGGGACATTGGTGATGGTGTGTCCTTTGTGTTCCACTGGCAATATAATTCTGCAGGTAAAAAACCATCAGGTTCTTTTTTTTATATCTGAAACACAGTTCTCTGTGCAGGAATATATGAAGGATGTATGACTTTTCCTGAACCTACTTTAAACAATTCTTGTTTCCAGATACGTATATTTTAAATGTGACTATAGGTTTGACTGGAACTTTGTAAAGGCTGAAAGTTTAACTGATTATTTCTCTGTTTTTTATTAGGGGAATTTCTGAACTTGGAAAGGGGAAGTTTGTGACAATTTTCCTGGCTCATATACCAACAACCCTTTTGACACTAGGAGTCAGGATAGTTTGTGAATTGTGAGTTAGACATAAGAGGCCCCACCATAATTAAAGATGCTAACACTGGGGCTTGTCAAAGTGTTGCATTAGTTGCTAGTTCAACTGCCTTACTGTGAAGGAATAGTTGACATCTTTCGAGACTTTTATTTCTGCATTTGCACTATTGATGGACTTTTTCTTAATGGTTTATGATAATATTCAGTTTAGTCTGAGATAAATCTATTAATAGTTATGTAAAGATAAATTTCTAGATTAGCCAAGATTTCTCTTAAGACTTAAGCACATAAAGAGTAGTAATTTAAAACTGTCCATAAAAAGTTGTTAAGAGAAACTTTGGACAAAGGTAAGTATTTTATAAAATTAGAATCTCCACTATTATTTAATTATGTTTTATTAAAACTTGAGAACTCAAGTTTAAATTGCCCCTCACACATGCCTTTTCCTCTATAAGTGCCAATCATAAGAGGAAAAATGGCATTCAATATATCCTTGCCTCCCTAATTGTGGCTGTTAGATCATCAGGTCTGCTATGTCTGGACTTAATGGGATTTGTTTTTTATAGGTAAGCAAAACCCCTCACTGATTTGCTTATTTGAAACTTTGCTAGCTTTAACTTTTGATTTTCCTCTCCTTTTAATTGTGTTAGGTCTAATATTTAGCACAACTGAACCTTGGAAAGTGAACAAAATTATGGTTTTTTGGTTGTTTGGGGGGGCCTGGTTGTGAAGTGTTATTTGGTAGGTAAGAATATTTAACTCTTTTATGTGTCTGCTGAGTTTGCTTTATGAACAAAGCTTCATCTGCCCTCTGGCCCACTCTCATTTCCATTAGTAGGAGCTCTCTTAGTAAATTCCTTCCTGCTTAGAAGGTCCTCCCATCTGAACTTGGAGCCTACATACATTTTCAGAGCAAAATTAACAAGAAGGTGAAGATATGCAGCAATTACTTTTAGTAGTTTTTTTAAGTGTGTATGGTGGTGGCGGGTGGGAAGAGTGAGGGCCCAAATATAAGTATTCATTGATAGGTAAAATATATACAAACCTGAAGTCCCAGCCAGCTCTTTTCTTTGACCGTGTTGCAAGTGATTAAAGCCCAGTCATTAGTATTATTTCTGCACAAGAATTTTTCATACTGGTTGATACACAGTATTAGTTATGATGGATACTGTTTGTAACAATCACTGTTCTGTAGGCGTATGATCTGGACAAAACATGAACTTCGGTATGTTTACTATTGCTCTTACTTGAAACAAGAAATTTATAAAAAGCACAAATTAAAGTACTAGGTCCATTTCCATATATAGTTCATTCATTCAATAAATATTTACTGAGTTCCTAATATAGGTGAAGAAGCACTTCTTATATTACTAAGTAATTTGTATGAATGTGTATGTAGTGAAGTATTTCAAAATTACTTGTCTTTTTTTTTCTTTAAATAACTTATTTTTTTTTTACTTGGTTTTGTTGTTAATCCTAGAGGAGATAAAAACTGTTCTTTGAATTGCTTTTTTCATTTGTTGTAATAATGAAAGCCAAAGTATACATATTTCTTAAAATAGCCCTAAATGTACTCTTAAACTCCTTACTGGAACAATGTTTGATACTCTAATGTATAGGTTGTGTTTATGGAATATTTAGAATCACATACTAATAAATCAAGTAATCTGTTAAAACAGGCATTTGGTTGTGCCTCCTCCCCCAAATCAGTAATATACAGCCATAAAAAGGAAGGAAATTCTGACATGCTATAACTTTGATGAACCTTGATGAAATCATGCTAAATTAAAAAAGCCAGTCACAAAAGGACAAAGACTGTATGATTCCACTTAATATGAAATACCTAGAGTAGTCAAATTCAGAGTTAGAAATTACAGTTGTGGTTGCAGGGGACTTCAGGAAGAAGGAAATGGGGAGTTAATGTTTAATGGGTACAGAGTTAAGTTTTGCAAAATGAAGAGTTCTGTGGCTGGAGGGTGGTGATGGTAAAAACAATGTGAATTTCTTTAATGCTATAGAACTGCACTTAAACATGGTTAGCATGGGAAATTTTATGTGTATTTTGTAACAGGTTTTAAAAAATCAGTACTGAGTCCTAAGAGGTATCAGGCTAAAAACAGGTATCACCATGCACATGTCAACTAGTTCTCAACTACATACACACTCAACCCTATAGATCCTTTGATTTTATTCCTGCTGAAAGATAATACAGTTGAACTGTCATAGCAGAAAAATGGATCTGGATCCATTGGGGTACTTATAAATGAAGACATAGTCCCTGTCCTTAAGGAATGTATAAACTGTTAGGAGTTAACACAATAACGTTATTTGTAAACAGCTTTTCATGATAGTAAGAGAAAATCTCATAGAATTATGAGAAGTGTATCTGAAGATGTTTGTGCAGTGTAGGGGAAAACATAAAAGTGTCCTTTTAGCTCATTTCCAAAACAACAGTTAAGTGGCACAAGCAAAGGCTTACAGGTGGGGGCTAATGAGCCTTCCAGAGGTTAACCTAAGCAAGTTTGTTTGATTAGGATGGAGAAAAGCCAGGGTCTATTAGTTGGAAATACTGGCAAAGGGAGGGCGTGTGTGTGAGAACATTTATTTCTCATGGTGCCAGGCACCATGCCCAGTGCCACACATACATTTTTTTCATATGCACATTTTGTACCACAAGGTAGGCAGGATTAGGTGTAGATAGATTAAATAATTTGATTGAAGGTTTTCAGTAGTAAATGATATAGCTAAAGTACAAAGCCAGGTCTGTTTTAACAGTTTGTCTGATATTTGCCTACTTTATGACTGAAATTCTTTCCTGTGAATGACAGATTAAATTTGAAGGTGGAGAGACAAAGGTTTTCTTTAAAATAAAGATCATGTTGTCAAAACTATTACTCAGATAAGCTTTGCTATAGGATATAATGTCAGGGGAGGAAGTTGAATTACAGTTATCTTCTAGACCAAGGGAAATCTTTATTCAGCAGGTCTGGTATGGAGTTTTGGCTTTTATACTTTTTAAGTTGCCCAGGTGATTCTTATGTGCAGGCAAATAAATTGGAAAACCACCAATTTAGATTCTGTTCCTCCGGTAAGAATGACTTGGACTAGGGTGGCCTTTACAACAGGAATGGATACGTTGTTTCATCTACATGATATTCTTTCAACAGATACTTTTGAGTACTTATTACATGCCAGTTACAATACTGAGACTCAGATCAAATTCATTATGAATGAAATGTAGCATTATTGTGAATCAGGTTACTATAGTAAAAATTTAGAAATGTGAATGTGAGGTTTTCAGGGGTGAGACATGGTGGGGCATAAAAGTCTGAATTGTTTATTGTAAGGTTGAGAAAAATCTTAACTACCATTTTTTTATTCTTGCATATTCTCACTGATGTTCTTATTCAGAGTCCAGTTTTAAATTTCATTGTTTATTTTGAAGATGATGTATGCCTATGTGGTTACTGTGGCTGAAAAGAAATTTAAAAAAAAACAGACTTTGTGACAAGACAGGTACATTTGGTACAAGTAAAATAAAATATTCAAATTTATTATATCTTAGAGATATGGGCTAGAAATAGTCTCAAAAGATAAAAATAGTTTATACGTTTATTCAACAAACATTTTTCAAGCATGCTAGGTGCTGGGAATTTAATAGTGAGCAAACACTGAGCAGTGAGTTCCTACCCCCAGAGAGCTTATTCTCTACTAGTGTGATGTAAGATACAGTGGGTTATGAAGGGAAAGTACTCTAAGCTAGAATAAGTGGGAGAACTGGTATGAGATCTGTAGAAGGAGCAGTCAGAGAAAGGCAATAAGAGCACTTAGACTTCACAACAGGATTGCAAAAGGCCCTGGGGCTAGGAGCACCTGGTGTTACTGGAATCACCCTAGATCACTGGAGTAGGATAGTTGTAGGAGGTACTGTATCAAGAGAGGGTGGGAGAGATGGTATCCAATTTACTCTAGAATTTGAGAAACATTTTGTCAGAAAAGTGAGATAGTAAGTGGGAGGCAATAAACACCCACTTAGGCACGAAGAGATAAGAGCTAGTGAGGATTGAGATTTGCAGACCAGAGACATGAGAGGCCTTGTCCTAGAGATGTGCTACTTTCACAGCCTCGTCTCCAATTTTCAACCTGCTTGCAACTGTGCTGAATTCCTGGCCTAGGAAATAGTAATTCTTAAGAAGATAGAGAAGATACTGAAGTAGAACTTGACCTAAGGTCTCTATTTTCTTGAACAGAGCACAAGGTTTGTTTTAAGTCCTGAAGTAGCTTAATCTCTTCCTCCATCTGCTGCCGTTTTTCTTCAGATTGATGAATTTTTTTCTCTAATGCTATGATAAGAAGAAATAAAATGATTTCAGGTTACTCAGTAGTTTTATAAATAATGTACGATTTCTATTCCCCTTGCATTTTGCAAGAGCATAGTACACAGTGCTGTGCCCCAAAGGAAAAGATTCCAGGGTCTTGTGAAGAGGAACTGGTCCCTTTATGTCTTTGTTTCATAGAATTCTAGTATTTCATTGTACATAAAGCTGGTCATTAAATCTTTGAGATTTTGTACATTTATAGTAGAAGCAGTGCCTTTTGTATATCTTTGAAAACTTGAAAGCAGCAACTGTTTAACCTTCATACTAAACTAAATCCTTTTGTTGAAAGGTGATGATTGGAGAGAACATGTGGTTAGAATATCAAAAATAAGGGCAAATTTTTCATTAAAATGTATCCAATTTTTAATTTACATAAAAGCTTTTGATTTTATTTATTAATAGAATGACTTTTAATGTGGTAACTTAGGAAGATTATGCAGTGACAATGTCATTTTTTTAAAAACCTCAAAACTGAAGAATATTAATTCATACTTAATATTAGAACACCTGTATACCAGTAGGTAACTTTCAGAAACATTACAAAGGTTAAATTGAGCAAAAGTCTTCATCAGTTGGGGTATCAAAAGTTAAGCCTTTTAAATTGGTTCTCATGAGATTACAAAGTGTCTCCTCATGGTGACAAATACTACACATTGTAATCTATATACTCCCACTCACCCACCCAAGTAGTGACACGTGACATGTTCCAAAGATATAATTTTTATATGAAAAAGAAATAACCACAGATGAAAGTCTCCTACAAAATAAAGCCTTTTAGAAAAAGATTTTAAAGGCTGCTTTTAAAAACACACGGATATTCCCATAGGAGTATGTAGACATTCTCAAGACACTGTTAAAAGCGACACTATTTTTGGTAGATTTAAAAAAAAATTTCTGTTGATTATAAATGTAATACAAAATGCAAATAGAAATGTATGATATGAAAACAAAACTGAGAAAAGCTTATGTATATTGAGACAGGGACATGAACTAATGTTTTCTCCACAGAGAGAACCTATTGTCCTAATACCATTTGCTGGATAGACAGGTACATCATGGAAGAAGAATGTAGGTCACTGTATTTGTGACCTACAATGTCAGGGAAGCCATTTGCCAAAAATTCTGTGTGAATCTGACCCCCATTCCCACTGGGATGTGCAGTGCACATGCTGCCCAGCTGTATGTGGCAGCCTTGATGGAGAAGTCAGATCAGATTCTCAAGTAAGTGAAAATTTAGCCTGTTTTGAAGGCATCAAACAGTGACAAAAGGACCTACTCAGTAATGGTATTTTATAGAAAGTTCTCTGCCTCCATCAGGTTTTCTTCTTTTTCAAAAATGTTTTGGCTATTCTTGCTTATTTTTTGTTTGATAAGCTTTAATCAGTCACAACCCCCATCCCCATTGGATTTGCAGATTAATGTTGGGAGAATTGAAGTATGTGTATATCATACCAAGTGAAAGGAAGACAAGTGGCAGCTTGATTTGTCACAGCCTGGCTGCCTGAGGGCGGAGTCCAAAAGACTCTTCACCTGTTCCTGTTCATTCCTGAACATGGTGCCCAAATATTCTGCCATTTTGCAACCAATTTTTGTTGTTTCTACACAAAGTATTATATGTATATTAGAAAATGTGGCCCTGGCTGGTGTGGTTCAGTGGATTGAGCACCGGCTTACCAACTGAAAGGATACTGGCTCAATTCCCAGTCAGGACACATGCCTGGGTTGCATGCAGGCCAGGTTCTGAGCTGGGGGTGTATGAAAAGTGTATCTCTCTTGCACATTGATGTTTCTCTCCCTCTCTTCCTCCTTCTCTTCCCCTCTCTCAAACAAATAAAATCTTTTTAAAAAAGACCTCAGTTATCCAATTATTAAATATTTAAAAAGAAGAAAATGTGGAAAATACAACACAGTATTGAAGACAAAAGAATCACTATAATCCTGCTATCTACAGATAAGTAGTTTCCATTTGGGTTCAGTTTTTCTGTGTGCATGTATGCCTCATATGTATTTACATATTGTGTGTGTGTGTGTGCAAGAGAGGTCGTACTATTTTGTAGTGGGCTTTTCATTTAATAAAACAATGTGTCCACTGAAATACAATTTTATCACCTGAACACTATTATATTATTTCAATACATGTGATAAATATTTATAAACTTTGTTGCTTGATTATAACTCATATACCTGCTTGAAAATTTACAAATGTGTCTTCAAACAATCTACAGTCAAAAAGTGAAGTCCCAATTTCTTCATAGTCTGGAGGAAGAAAAACATTTTCAGTTTTAATTTAAATTATATAGGCAGAAACACCTCACAAAATAACCCACCAAAAGGAAAAGTAAACAGAGCATTTATCTATTGTAGAACTTTAGTGTTAAGACTGCAGCAGCAGCAGCCTCACCTGGGAACTTGTTAGAAATGCAAATTCGTGGCACCTTTACTGAATCAGAACCTCCAGGGGTGAGGCCCAGCTATCTGTGATTTAACAAGCCCTCCAGGTGTTTCTGAGGGGCATGCTCAAGTTTGAGAAGTGCTTGGTCTCTCTAGACAAAAGAATAAACAAGAATGCAATGAATGAGCTTTTGGAAATATTTGCTCTTAATTTCATTTTTTGGTTTTGCACTACAGAAAATAATGCCTTTCAAATACTTTATTTTATATTGTTGCCTAAAAATATAGACTCTCAAGCTTTTCTTTCTGTTAAGCTGTATTTACAATAAAGGTTTTAAGCTCAAAAGATAGATCATAAGAAAGCTAAGTGGCTATATACCTGAACGTATGAATGGAACTTGAGCTTCCCATAGAGCTCCTAAAGAAAGGTCACAGTTAACTAAGCCAAACATCAATCAGAACATTATAATTACTTATTCTATAACTCTAAACTTGAACTATACCAAAAAAAAAGACACTTGGTTTATTAAGGAACAGAATTTGAGTCAAATCAAAACATAATGCCATTCTCATGTCAGGGACAAGTTTGCTTAGCTGTGGGGATGAGGGTGGGGGATGGACGTGTGACTTGAATCTGGTTCTGAAGTGCTCATCTTTTGCTGATTATTCTCAGCTATGCACTTCTGTAAACTACATGAAAACTTTTAGGGGACTGGTACTTTTTATGAAATTAATGAGTTTGTGAATTACCCACATCCTGTTGATTTATAAAAGACAAAAGTCCTGGAACAATGGATTTTATTAATGAGATCAAGAAGGAAAAGAAAATATCTCAGAAAATGTGTACATGTTTTTGATTTTGTTTTATTTTACATGTAGGTCTGTGAGAAGTATCTATATAGGAATTTTGGTGTTTTAGTACCTGATTCTGAAGCAGTCTCATCCATAAGTCTTTTTTGAACTGAATGGAGTCTGTCTAATATTTCTTCAAATAAATCATTAAGAAGTCCTGCATCCTTACATTTCTTAAGGAAAGCAGCTTTCACAATTGCATCTAAGAATAAGAAAAACAAAGAAGGAAACAGTATTGGGGAAGTTATCATAAATCACTATATGGCCATTGCTTCAGGCCTTGCCTTCTGGTAGCTGAGCATAATTAGTTAAGGAAATATATACAGTACCTTTAGTTTCACTGTTAATTGCAATTTCATCATACTTCATTTTTTCTACCAGAAGTAATGACATGTTATGAAAATGGAAAATTCTGTTTGGAATAATTATATGAATCACGATAATTTTCTAAAATTTAGCTTCAAATCTTTGAGCTAATAGACTCTTGTCATTTTTCAGTTACAGTTACTGTGTGTTGTTATGGGATGTCTATCTGCTTAAAGAACAAATCTACAGGTCCTGGTTCCAGCTACCTGCAAAGCAGGGAATCAGCAATGTGAGGGGTTGGCAAATCACTATATTCTGACCTCAGGCAACCTTGGGTTCTCTAACAAAGAATGTACCCTGTGTTAATACTAAAGAGTTATGAACCATCCCAACCTAAGTTAGTTTGATCTGCTGGGGCTATAATCAAGTGGGTAGTTAAGATAAAATTTTTTACTCTTCTAATTAGTTACTACACGCCTAGAAGAATAAAGTGGGATGCTAACTTTATAATATATAGATCATATTTGTTACAGACAAAACTTGTAGCAAACCTGTGTTTCTTCCATCCTCTTCTTTCATTTGTTTTGTGGACATATTTGATGTCATTGGTTCAGGTAGCTAGGAGGACAGAAAAAAATCGTGATTATTTTACACAGATTTTACTGTTGGCGTTTAATGTTTCATAAAATGAAAACCAATCTTTTGTTGTATATAATTCAGTGATATGCCTATGATGAAAATCATGCCCCATATTTATCTGTAGATGTAAAATCAAATGTGTTTTTGTTTTGTATAATACATCAAGAGTTGTGGCAAGCACCTTTTGTATAAACAGCAGATGGTGAACATTGGTTCACATTAATTTAGCTTATATGAGCTGATGTGTAAAAAACTGCTTGAAATCCCCAAAACATTTTCATATGCTTTACACATAGTAGTCCAGAAAATTGTAAGTTATAAATTAGGTCAAGTATGGGTCATGCAGTGGGGAAATACTTGGCTAGGTAAGGGTACTCTCAAGTGTACCTCTGCCCATAATAAGACCATAAGTACCCCCGGGCTTAGATTCTTCTTACTAATTTGGTACCTGAGATGTGTACAGGAGCTATGGGACTATCATCTCCTGAATTATGTACTTGGGTATCTAATACACATCTTCTCTTTAATATTTGTTTCTTATGGTTCTATCATCATTTCACCCGAAATTTAGAATGGTTAAAATGACGATGTTGCAGTGTTGCTCAGTGGATTGAGTGCTGGCCTGTGAACCAAAGCATTCCTGGTTCAATTCCCAGTCAGGGCACATGCCTGTGTTGCAGGCCAGGTCCCCAGTAGGGGCACATAAGAGGCAACCACACATTGATGTTTCTTTCCCTCTCTCCCTCCCTTCCCCTCTCCCTAAAAATAAATAAAATCTTTTTCCAAATTTTCCTTTAAAATAAGGATGTTGACAGAAGAAACTTAAAGCTATAATAAAATTAAGTTGAAGTACCTGTACAGAAGTGCTTGTTGCGAGATCTTTCTTCTTTCCTCTTTTTCTTTTTACTCTTGAAAAATGAGCTGAAAATATAAATCATATAGAAGCCAGAATCCATAAAGGAAAAGACTGATGTTTGACTGCATAACATATAAAAATTTTATCTCCCAAAAGTTATTGTGGAGCCAAAAGATACGGCAAACTTTGACTAAATGTTGCAACACTTATGATGTAATAAGGCCAATTTTAAAAATATAAAAAGATCTCATAAATCAATACCAAAAAAGACATTTGAATAGAGAAATGGGCATATGGGGAAACCTCAGGGGAGAGGTTAATTAACTAGAAAAGCATTTGGTGACCGGAAAACAAATATAATTGATTAAAAGGGGAATATACTTAATTTCACTCATAAGTAAGATGAAAAGTAAGAATTTTTTTACCCATCAGATTGACAAAGATGAAGGTGGTTAATATATAATGTTTGCAAGTATTGAGTAATTATGCAGTGCTGGTACAGCCTCTTTGGAAGACAGCTAGTAGTTATCCAAAGTTTCACTGTTTATATTCCTGGATCCAGCAAATTACTTATAGGAAGTTTTCCTAATAGCAGTTGCATTAAGGCACAAAGTTGAATGGAGAAAAATGCTAACTATAATTTTAAATGTGATAGAAAAAAACTGGAAATAACCTAAAATGTCCAACATGTAGAAGCTAGTTCAATTTTGGTTCAGCTATGTGACTGAATAATACACACAATGGATTACTATGCAGGCTTTTAAGAGTGAGGTCTATCCACTCATGCGATACAGAAGGATTTCTAGGATATATTAAGTGAAAAGTGAAAAGTATAATAACAGGTATGTTTGTGTATACAGGGAATTTTGGGAAGAATTCAAAAGAATCCTTTGAGGGAGAAGATTTGCTACAGTGTTATAATCTACTTTTTAAAACTAATGTTATTCTTATCTTTTCCTGTCAATAAACACCAACTGACAACAGTATTTTTCATAGTATTTCCTAATAACTTAAAAGGTTAGGAAAGCCAAAAAAATCAAAGTTAAAAAGAGGATATTGCACTGAAATGGCATTTAGTCTGAATAGCTTATTTTATGCATACCAAATTATTCCTAGGGAGTATAATGTATGTCCCCAGTCCAACCTCATTAGGACCTAAACTGTGGCCAATGCTTACTACATGTGAGGCACACCAAATTCCTACTTGCAATGCATAGTTCAAAAGAAAATAAATTAGGGTATCTTATTATTATTCCCCAAAACATCAGGCTATTATTAAAGAAAATGACTGAAAAATGTTTGGTAAATCTTTACCACCACAAAATGCAGTTAGCATGACACAGAATTGAGCCTCTTATCAAGAGGTCCTGACTCCAGCCCACAAGGAACATTCCCAGTCTAGTACTGGTAAGACACTGTTGTTTCAGAGAATGTGGAAACCATTCATGAGTGAATGTACATCCCACAGTTCCAGTTAGCCAGGGGCCAATTTTAAAACTGAAATGCTAGCCATGTATTCTTAGGATACTTATTTAGGGACCATACAGTACTTTATCAATTTTATCTACTAAAAATGCTGGTATTCACCATGGCTAGGTAGCTCAATTGGAGCATCATCCCACACACCAAAGTGTTGCAGGCTCAATTCCTAGTATCACACATACCTAGGTTGCGGGTTTGATTCATGATGGGGGAAAAGAAGGCAACCGATTAATATTCCTCTCCTCCTCTCTCAAAAATTAATAAAAAGCATATCCTTGGGTGAAGATTAAAACAATAAAATTCTGATATTCTTTTAGAAGAGAAGCAATTTCAAAAGGTAGAACTTTTTACCTTGTCTTGGTGTCGTCTTCTGATTGTAGTGAGGATGGAAAACATCAGACAATGGCTTTACTGAGAGTAGGCCTAGTTCACAAATAATAAGTAAATTATATTACACATTATGTGAAGACATTGAAAATTTTATATGTAAAATTTTAAGTCAGATTTGTATTTTAATTCAGTGAGGCTAGTAAATCAGGCTACTTTATGTCTTACCTAAATGTTTAACTTTCTTTAAACCCATAATCCTAAATTTTAGAGACTTACCAGATTGAGTTTCTCTCGGAGCATGTTGTTGGCAAAACACTCTGAAAACATGCAATTTCAAAGAATTGTTAAATATTTTTACTTATACTTTTCAAATATTATGTCTATTTTCTTGTAGTTTAAAAAGGAATTAACCTATTTTTCATGATGATGTTGCCCTAAATATTTGTTTTAAAAAAATGCCTTTTGAGACTTCTGGTCAAGATGGCAGTATGGATAAACGCAGTGCTGGCCTACTTCCATGACCATATCAAATTCGCAACTAAATCATAGAACAACTTTTAAAAGGTGGGTTTGAGCAAATCACTGGAGAGGGCAGGGAGAAACCCTGATCTGGCACACAGGTTGCATTCTCTTTGAGAAGGCAGGGGGAAGGGTCAAAGGAAGTTCCCAGATGGAGATTGAAATCACAACTGAAACCTTGAGACAACCTTCCCACAACCTGGGGCTACTGTAACAATCAATAGAGCTGGTGACACAAGCTGCACAGTGGCCTGCATGAGCTGTGGGGGCCGGACACCCCATCCTGGGCAAACATGGCCGACAAGGCCCACATTGGTTGAAAAGCTGGACACTCCCACAATGCATGGGATTTGGGGAGGGGACTTTAAAACAACACAGGCAGAAGCCTGGGGTTCTATTCCATGGGTGGGAGTGCTTAGTACTTACGTCTTCCATGATCAGAAGCCAGCTTCTAGAGACCCGTGCTGGGATGTGTGCCTCAATGGATCCCAGCCCTTGGGCTTACCCTGAGAGCAGTGGATAGAGGCTGGGAGCAACACGTGGAGATATGAGCTGGTAAGTGCCTCGACCCCAGGTGTGCAGGCAGCCTCAGGTACCAGGGCCCCAAGGATGGAGCTTCCTTTGCACAACCCAGGCCCCAAGAAAGAAAAAGCTGCTGCTGCAAGGCAATGTCAATGCTGAAACCCACAAGTGCAGACAGAGAGTGAGTCTGAGGATGGAGACCCATTTGTGTAACTGCCATCTTGGAACTCCAAAAGGACAGATAATATCGGGCAAGTTGTTTGGACAATGACTCTGGTCCTGGGGGTGGCTGATTTTCTGTGCTTTGTGGGTCAGGATGGCTCAGAACAGGAATGCTCCCAACTCCCTTAAATTGGTTACCCTGTTAATAAAAACCTATTTCTTTCCCCACAAATCTTCGTGTTATGTGTGTATAAGGTGGCAAGAGGCTGGACCCTAGGGTGCCCAGTTATACAACTATCTTTGAGAATCACCTGAAGTCAAGCAGAACAGAAGTTCTATAACAAAGGATATAAGGAAGAAGCCATGTCAAGTCTTGTAGTAGGGGCAGAGACAAAATGTGCTGGTCCCACTCCCATATGTGGCAGTTAAGAATCAGGAGGAATAGCTTGGCTGCAGAGGTCCCCACTGAGAAGTAAGGGCTCCCAGTCCCACACTGGGCTCCCAGTGCCAGGGATGTGGGCTTTTCCTAAAATTCCTCAAAGGTCCATAAAACCCAAACAAACAATGGCTGGCCTCGGCTTGTCCTGTATCTGTTGCTAAGTGGCCCCAAGCCTTGTGCTGGTGGCAGCTGCCCTCAGTACACACATAACTACTACCAGGTGCCACCATGACTAGCACAGACAGCAACCAAATACACATCACTTTGTCACTTCTATCAGGTGGCTTTGGGCCAAATACAGGCAGCAGCTGACCCTGTCCTGCAATGGAGCCTCTCCTAAGATGCCATGGAACCAACACACCTGGTGGCCAGCTTCAGAGACCACAAGAGTACAACCCCATTAGGAATTGGAGGAGGACGAAGATGAGAAGAAATAAAAAGTAGGAATTAAGAATATTGCAAAACCAATATTCTCACTGATGAATGCAAACTATAAAAGCCCTGGATCAATCAATTACAAAACTACTACAAAGTATAAAAAGCAAAAGTAGGAAGATCATAGTAATTACAATAGTAAAGTAGGGGATACACACATAAGTAAAAAATGACAGGAACATAAATGTAGAGAGAGTAAAAATGGTAGTGATTTTAGAATGTGTTTGAACTTAAGCAACCACCAACTTAAAATAGATCATTATAAATATAACTTGGGATATATGAAACACATGGTAATCACAAACCAAAACCTACAAGAGATATACAAGAAATAGAAAGGAATCAAACACAACACTACAGAAAGTCATCAACATACAAAAGAAAGTGAGAGAATAAGAAATGAACAGAGAAGGAGGGCTTGGACTGGAGGCTGGGCAGCTGTGAATAGTGCAGCCCAGACCTGGCTTCAATCCTTGCAAAACCACAGGAAAGGAAAAAAGTGAAGCCCAGCCCCCCCTCTGCCTGCAGCATCCAGGAAGACCAACAGGACTCACTTGGCAGATTTAAAATCAGCAGGAGGCTTTTTCCCCCACAAGTGTGAGACAATAAGACCTAGAGCTATGAAAGGACCAAATACAGATCCAGAGGGAGATCAGAAGGCTAATGCCAACAACTGAGAAACAGACAAATTTCACTTTGCCGTCCTACAGAACTTGCATTTTTTAATTTTTAATATTTCTTTCTTTTTTATTTATTTTATTATTATTTTTATTTCTCTTCATTCTGTTTAGTTTTCTTCATTTTGTTTGTTTAATTGTATTGTTTGACTGGTTTTGTTTTCCCTTTCACATTGTGTTTTAATTTTTCTTCTCTCACTTCACTGGTACTCCAATAACACTACTATTGGTCTTTTACTTTCAGTTTTTCAAATTCAGATCATATTTCTTGTCATTTTATTGTTGTTCCTATATTATTATAAGTAATTGTTGTTCCATATTATTGTAAGTCCTACACAGCACTCTCCATGGTCTTGGCCAATTTGACTGTCTTCCTGAGCTTTATTACTGCTGTGGAAAACTTTATTCTCTTGTACACTATGCCTAGTTTCTATCCCTTATGCTCACTATACCTCACCATCTAACCTCACACAAGCACACTGTTTTCTAGATTCAACTCACATTCTTTTCCCCCTCTAATAAAAGTCTTAACTCTTTTTCACCTTTTATAAAAAGTGGCTAGGTGGGTGAAATATCACAGTTACCACTTTTTTTCTCTGAAGGATCTCCTATATGTTCTCTACCAACAAAAAGTTCTGGATCTGTATTTGGTCCTCTCACAGCCTGATTAAGTCCCATTGGATACTCTCTCACTCTCATTCCATTTCACCTTCGCCCTGCCACTGATCACACCAAAATAAGGTGGAAGTTATGAGCAGCAGGAAACCTACTAGAGATGAGAACTCAAAACAGGAACCACTAACAGGTAAAACCCAAATACAACAGGAGAGCCCACACAAACTGAAGAAATGGCAACTCCTGAGTATCCAGACAAGGAGATCAAAGAGACCACACAGAATCACACAGAACTTGAACCACAGAAGTATACCCCACAAAGACAGCTAGCAAAGCAGAGCATCAGGAATCACAGAAACAAACAAAAAGTCACCTAAAATAGGGAGACAAAGAAAGAACCTGAAATAAAAAGTAATGGAGGACTCCCCACTAAAACAGCTAAATGAAATGGACACAAGAAAATTTTCAGATATACAATTCAAAAGAATGGTTATAAGGATGCTCAAAAACCTCACAGACAACTACAAGGAACTGAGTGAGAACTACAACAGTATGAAAAAGGAAACAGAAACTATAAACAAAAACCACGAAGAAATGGACAATAAAATTTCTGAAATTAAAAACACACTAGAAGGAATTACAAGCAGGCTGGATAAAGCAGAGGACTGCATTACTGAGCTGGAAGACAAGGTACTACCTGGGAAGACCCAGGTAGAGCAGCTTCATGAAAAAGCACTCAAAATATATGAAGATAGCTTATGGGAACTGCAAGACAACATGAAATGCAACAATATTCAAATCATAGGAGTACCAGAAGGGGAAGAAAAAGAGCAAGGGATCATAACCCTGCTTGAAAAAATAGTGAGAAAACTTTCCAAACCTGGAGAGAGGGAAAACCACACAAGTTCAGGATGCACAGAGGTCCCAATCAAGATGAACCAAAAGAGACCTACTCCGAGGCACATCATAATTAAAATGCCAAGTTTTAAAGACAGAGAATCTTAAAAGCAGCAAGGGAGAAACAAGAAGCAATATACAAGGGAGCTCTGACAGGGTTAGCAGGTGATTACTCAACAGACATACTACAAGCCAGAGAGAATGGCAAAAAATATTACAAGTAAAGAAAAGCAAAGACCTGCAGCCAAGACTACTCTACCCAGTGAGGATCTCAATGAAAATGAAAGGCAAAATATGGAGTTTCCCAGATAAAAGAAGGCTGAAAAGAATACACCTCCACCAAACCAGCACTGCAAGGTATGTTAGAGGGACTCCTATAAGAAGAGCAAGGAAAAGAGCAAGAGAGAGAGGAACACACAAGGGGGGGGGGTGAATAAGTGCCTATCAAAAATAACCTTAGATGTTAATGGATTAAATGCTCCAACAAAAAGACATAGGTTAGCTGAATGGATAAGACAACATGACCCACATATCTGCTTATAAGAGACCCACCTCAGAAAAGAAGACCTACACAGACTGAAAGTGAAGGGTTGGAGAAAAATTCTAAGCAAATAGAAAAAAACAGCTGGGGTAGCAATACTTATATCAGTAGATTTGAAAACAAAGGCCATAAAAAGAGACCCAGAGGATATTTCATAATACTGAAAAGAAGAATCCATCAAGAAGAAATAAACATTATAAATATATATGCACCCAACATAGGAGCACCCAAATATATAAGGAAAATCTTAGAGGACTTCAAGAAGCATATATACAGCAACAAACTTATATTAGGGGATTTTAACACCCCATTGTCAAAAATGGATAGATCTTCCAAAGAAAATATCAACAAGGATATTGCAACATTGAACAATGCCCTAGATGAAATCCACTTAACAGATATATATAGAACCTTTCATCCAAAGAAGCAAAGTACACAGTCTTTCAAATGCACGTGGAACATTTTCAAAGACCACACAATAGGACACAAAACCAGACTCAACAAATTCAG